GTGGAAACCCTTATGGCCCACACCTCGTGCACATTGGCATACAGAGTGAACTCTAGAACATTATCAGTACAAGACTCCTTTGAGATAACGTAGTCCTAACCTTCATTTTATAAATGAGAAAGCTGAGGTCCAGAGAAGTAGGGTTTAAACCACTCAGAGGATGCATCAGTGGCTTTTCTGGGGTTATACCCCCAGGCTTGAGCTCCTGGTCCAGGGCACACTCAGCCTCCTGTGCCTGATGGAGGGGTTCGGAGGTTATGAGACCACTTCACACACTCACAGCACCTGTACCCATCAGAGCAAGTGCCTGAAACCCAGCTCAGGTCAGATCCCTGTGGTCAGAAGGATGGTGCAGGATGATTGAGTATGTCCGGACCTCACGTCCATGCCGGAGAGCAGGAGAGGGCAAGGCACAAGGACTGACCTCTCATCAAGTGACCTGGGAAGGTGTGGTCAGTACTCCAAAGGAAAGGGGTGCTGCAACGGGGAAGTGCAGTACCATCATTGTCCTGGAGAGCTGGGGTCTATTAGAAAGAGTACTCAGAAATAATAATAATGACAACAGTAATAGTAGTCTTGAGTATGCCATGCAAACTCTCTGCATGCACTGTCTCATTTAAACCTAGAGTCTAAAGACTCAGGTTTGACTCCCAGCTCTGTGATTTACCAGACCCTGGGCCAGTCACTGAACCCTTCTGACCCCGTCTCCCCATCTCTAAGTTGGGAAGAACACAGCCCATCTTCCAGGAGCTGCTGGGGGGTTCTTTGTGAACCGTGAACAATGGGTGAGATGCTGGAGGTAGGAGAGGTTCACGGTACTGGTTGTCCATTGATCCCAAGTGGAGACAAGGAACAGGGAGAGGCTCTGAACCAACCAGAAGGTGTTCAAGGCCAAGGAAGCAGCAGGCTGGCTCCCAATCTGACTTGGCAGGAGGAACATGTCCACCCAGGGCACAGGAAGCCCTGTTCTGGGACCCTCCCCCCCGGCCTGGCCACTCTCCTCCCTTCCCAGAAAAGGGGGTGAAAAGAGGAGTTAATGGATGACAGGGCCGGGCAGGAAGAAGAGAGGATTTTTCATCTTAAAATGTTCTGAAATAATTCATATTTGCTTTGCAGGACGGCATTGTATGCTTGTCAGCACTGTAATAACTTCTGGGCCTTTATTTATTGTTTTGCCTTAATGATTTCGTGTTGCTCTGTTGTGGAGAATTCTCAGTGTCTTATAACACATAATGGCAGAGAAGGCCCAGGCCGTGGCAGGCCCTGGTGGGAGGGGGCCATGCTCCCCACTGAGGCCCTGCCCGTCCCCCTGGAGTCAGCAGAGCCTAGAGCAGGAGACAGCAGTGGTCAAGCTCTGTGGAATGTGCTTTATCCCAGAGGGCCAATTCTCACAACACCCTGCAGAGCTGACCCTTTGATCCCGTTTTACAGAAGTGAAAACTGAGCCTTTGAGAGATCATGGGACTTGGCACCTGCCTTTGTGTTAGCAAGCTAGGATTCAAACACAGGTCTGGGGGTGCCTGGCTGGCTCAGGGGGTAGAGCATATGACTCTTGATCTCGGGGCTGTCTGTTTGAGCCCCATGTTGCCTGGAGAGATTACTTAAAAATAAAATCTTTAAAAATAATTATAAACACAGATCTGTTGTATTTCAGCCTTCTGGATATGGGGGTGGGGGGAGTCTCCAGCTGTGGTGTGTGTAGGACTAACATGGGGGAACTTCTAAAATATGGGTTCCTAAGACCCAACTCTGCAGATTGGTCTTGAGTAGGTCTAACACAGTGCCCGAGGCTCTGTATTTACCAGCTGCTTAGATGAATCGCAGCCACATTTGGGGACTCAACTGGTGGCTGAGGCCACACTAGTCACACACTTGGCCCCTGTTCCTTAAGAGTTGTGGTCCCACAGTCGGCCATCTCTGTCACAAACACCCTGTCAGACACTCTCCTGTGTGCCTGTCATGCTCCATCCTGCATCACTGAGAGCTTGGACTCCCCACCAGACCTCTATCCCCTTCAGTGAAGCCAGGAAAGGAAGGGGAGTTGAGGGAGGGGAGGCTTTCTTGGTTGCCATGGTGATTCTCCACCTCCCAGTCTGCGGCGGGGGGCGGGCGGGGGGGTGGGGAGGCAGTTTCATTGTGAGCCTCCAGCCAAGGCCTGGAGGGAAGCAAGCTGTCCTGGGCAGGGAGGAGGCAGAGGGGTGGGAAGAGGACTCTAGTCGCTGGGGAGAGAGAAGAGGGGAAGGAGGGGTGCAGAATAAGGTTGGGGACCCCAGGCCCAGGGCAGCGGGAGCAGAGAGCCAGCCCCTCCAGATGCTGGGGCTGCCAGCCTTCAGCCAAGGGGTGGAGAGGGGTGTGTGCAGAAGCTGAGGCTGACAGCGCCTGATGCTTCCTGAGCCCAGAGCTGGCAGGAGCCCCCGGGCAGGTGGTGGCAGAGTTGCAGGGATGGACGAGACAGCCAGAGGCTGGCACAGACCAGAGTCAGAGCCCCAGGGCCGGGAAGACCAGGGCTCTGAAAGCAAACAGGAGATATGGAAAAATAAAAGTGGCAGAACCCTTCCCAGACCCCAGACTGTAGCCCGCTCCGACCCCAAGCCGGGCTGGGGCTGGCACAGCCTGGGAGCCCAGCCTGCTGGGCTGGGCTGGGCTGGGCTGGGCTGGCAGGCCGGATGGCACAGGCTGTGGCAGAGGCAGATGGAGCGAGGAGGGGGCCTGACCCCCAGCCCACCAGGGAATAGCTGGGATTGTCTGTTCTTTGGAGCCCTCCCACTGCCCGGCCCCCAAACCTCCCGCCTCTGGGAGCAAGGCTAGGGAAACGGGAAATAAAGAAGCCACATTTCTGAGCCAGCGTCTCTACCTCCTCCTGCTCCCTTTGGCTCGCTTTCCCTGCCTATGGCACGCGCTGCCTGCGCCCAGCCTGGCTCTGGCAAAGACCAGGACGTCGTGGGTTGCAGCGGGGGTGGGGAGGACAATGTGAGGGAGAGAGTGGAGGAGGGAGAGAAGCTGGGAGATGAGGAAAGAGGCCTGGTGGGTGCCATCCCCTTCCCCACCATTCGTTAAGCCAGCATTTACTTTGTGCCCGGCTCCATTTAGCACTTTGTCTGTATTCACTCATTCGGCCCTGACGAAAATGAGGCAGAGAGAGGTTGCGTGACCTGCCCAAGTTCACACGCTAGGGATCAGCAGATGGAGGGTCTGACCCAGGAGAGGTTCAAGTTCATGCTCTTAGCCCCCACACTCAACTGCCTTTTGCCCCTACCCCACTGTTTTAGTCTTTAAACGTCTTTTTCCTTTTTTGCCCCATCTTTTCTAAGATTTTCTCTGCCCAGTTTTTATTCCTTCTGACTGCGTGTTCTAGTCTACCCAGGTCACCAGGCCAGCACTCTTGCATCAACGGCCATACGCAAACACATATGTGTGTGAACACGTGGATGCTCATGTGGACACTCACGTGCATGACCATTGGGGAGCCCACAGGCATGTGAGCAGACATGCACACCTCTACACAATAAGCACACATATCCATGTGTCTGTGTACCTGTGCACAGTCCATTCACATGTGTATCCACCATATACACTACTCCCTGGGTAGGTCTTGAATGTTCTCACCAACAGAGCATTAACTGTGGCAAAATAATCCCAAACAGTGGTTGAGCCAAAGAAAAAATCTCTTTGGCTTTGCAGTAAAGTGCTGCTTGGCATATGGGGGTTTTGGCAATACATTTACCTTTCTAGGTTTAGCTTGGGCTGATGTGACTTCCTGAATGTCTGCAGCTTGGCAGCCCTGGGCTCTGGGTAATCAGCCCCTGAGAACCTGCCAGATGCCAGGCCTACAGCCTGGCAAGTCACCTACCAGACACTCTCTCCAGTCCTTACAGCAGCACGTGAGGCAGGCCTTGATGTTCCCATAGCCCAGGTGAGGGGCCTGAGGCTCATTGAGTTGCCATTTGCACAGTCACACAGAGAGAGTGAGGACTCGAACCCCAGGTTGGCCCAAGGGTCTGTAAAGCTTGAGTGCCTGCAGGTGGGTTGGTGAGCCAGACATGTGACTTCCCAGGCGTGCCTCATCCGTCTGGAATGTGGCTGCCTCACCGTCTGGTCACGTCTGGGCCCCTCTTCTGCGGCCAGGCTGGTGGGCGTGGATGGGCTGCCTTGGGTTCACGCTGAGCGCTCTCCAGAAGGTCCCACACAGGCCATGTGCAAGTAGGTCTGCAAAAGGCTTTTCCCCAGTGATGATTAGGATGATAATGATGGCTTAGATGATACAAAGACCAGACAGACTTACTCACCCCATAGACTTAGGCCTATGCATTCCTTCAGCGTTTCTTGAATACCTGTTATATGCTTGACATTTCACTGGAGTCTGAGGTCAATACAAACAGGAATCAAACTTGAACTCTGCCTTCCTTCCAACAGCATAGGAGAACAGTGTTCAGGTATGGAGATAGCTTTCATATAAAGCTAAAAGAAACCTAAGTGCTATAAGAGAGCTGCAGATAAAAAGTGAGAGGCTGCTTCCAGCTTGAGACATCAAGGAAGCCCTCCTGGAGGAAGAAGTGTGTGCTGAGTTTTAAAGAGTGGGGATGATTTGCGACTGTGAAGGAGAGGGGTTCTGAATTTCCCAGCAAGCACAGTCCAAGGTGCAGCGGGATACTGGGAGGTGCATTGGGAGAGCAAGGAGCTACATTTTCTTGTGTGAAGGGAGTGCCAGATGAAGAGTTTGGACCCAGGACAGGGAGTTTGGACTTTTATAGACAATAGGGAGTCGTCAAAGATTATTGAGCAGGGGAAGGCCTTGGGAACTGTGTTCATTTAGGAAGACTAAACCACAGCTGTGAGCAAAGGAAATTGGAATTGGACGTGCGTGCATGCACACACATACATGTACATCCTCAGAGATGTGCAGACACATGCGTGCACAAGTGTACAGGCCCAGAAGCACGTGGTTCATTCCTGAGCCTGCCTTCTTTTAAATTTTGAATTGTATCTGTTGATTTGAATAGGTAGCACATCTGCCTGACCTAAAATTCAGAGGGATTTCAGAGAATACATGGAAAAAATATAGCTACTCCCAACACCATGCTCCGCGACTCCAGTTCCTCGTCCCAAAAGCAAGCACGGTGGCCACTTTGGGAACTTCCTTCCAGAGATGTTTTATGGGAAGACAAGCAAATATCCAGGTGCACTCTTATTACACATGTTGTTCTGCACCCTGCTTTTCTCACATACTACGATCAATATCTTGAAGGCCCGTACACATTGGCACATGGATAGCTGCCTGGATCTTTTTAACAGCAGAAGACTATTCCACAATCATTGGGCACGAACGCTATTTCTGGGTTTTGGTTCTCACCAAAAATTCTGCAATAAATAACTTTGAATATATGTCATTTTACATACTCCTTCATTCAATCATTCATTCAACAGACATTTCTTGAGTACCACTATGTTCTGGGCAGCAATCCAGATGGCAAGGATAGAACAGTGAACAAAACAGGCAAAATATCCTGGCGTTGTCGAGCATACCTTCCAATGTGCGTGTGTAAGTAAATCTGCAGGACATATTCCTGGAGGTGGAATCCCAAGTCAAAATGTCCCTGCATTTTTAAATTCTAGTAGATAAAGCCACATCCCCCCACCCCCTCCCACAGAGGTTGTCCTAGTTTACCCCTGCAATGTAGGAGGACACTGTCTATTCCCTCACCCTTTACTGACAAAACACTATCACGTCTTTTGATCTTTGCCAACGTGACAGGTTAAAAGTTTGCATTTCTCTTAGAATGAATGAAGTTAAACATCTTTTGATATATTTAGGAACAATTTTCAGGTCCTTTTCTGTCAATTATCTATCCTTTGCTCATATTTCTTTTAGGTTGTGGATCTTTCTCATATTGATTTGTGGATTCTCTTTATCTGTTAAGGAAATTAGCCTATGATATGAGTTACAAATAATTTTTCCTTAGCCTATCATTTGTATCTGGACCTTGTTTGTAGTGTTTTCCTTTTCTTTTTGCAGACTTTTTAAAAAATGTAAAATAAGATTTAAGAAGAATTTTGTTAATTCCCAGCATTGTCTTTCATGGTGAAATGCTTGCTAAAGTTGAGAAAGATACAGGTCTCAATAACATAATCCTGGGTTCCAACCTAGATTTTTTCTTAAGTTTATTTATTTATTTTGAGAAAGAGAGAGTGCACAGGAGGGGTAGAGAGAGAGGGAGAGAAAGAGAATCCCAAGAAGGTGCTGTCAGCACAGAGCCTGATGTAGAGCTTGAATTCAAGAACCGTGAGATCATGACCCGAGCTGAAACCAAGAGTCAGACACTTAACCAACTGAGCTGCCCAGGTACCCCCCAACTGGACTTTAATAGGTTCTAGGCAAAGGAAGGTGATAGACTATCCTGTTCTGATGCCTCATCTCAAGAGATCTTTGGACAAAGGGGAAGAAGCTCAGAGGAGGGTAGCAAAGAGGGTGACTAGGCTTGAACCTAAGTCACGGTGATGGTGATGGGGCTAAAAATACAATGGCCTACTTTGTGAGGAAGGGAGCTTCTTGGCATTAGAGATGTACTAACCAGAACTGGAAGACCACCTACTGGAGATGCCGGGGGTTAAACTAGATGCCTGTCAAGACTTCTTCTAATTCTGAGAGCCCATAATTCCACACACCACAAGGAATCTTAAAATTCCCACTTCACAGATGAGAAAAGGGAGGTTGGAAACTCACATTCACTGGGCCCTGCTTTGTCCCAGGCACTTTGACACATATAACCTAATTTTAAAGGATAAGGACCAGAGGAGCTGAGTGATTCACTTATGGCTACACAGCAATCTAGTGACAGAGCTGGAAATGGATCCCAGTTCCCCAATTTCCAAATCAGAGCTCTCCCCACTGAACCATCTGTTCCTGGTCAACAACTAAACCCATGTTTATTGCATGTCTAATTCATACCTTCCCTGAATGGACACTAAGGTGGCCAATGAGAGCATATTATATTCAGGCTATTAGCAAAGTCAAAGGGTCTTTGCTCTGCAGAAGGTCATGTCTAGTGGGCAAGTACAGGCACCATCTCTGCATTGCCTTCTTCAGTGTGAATGACACCCTCTGGAGTTGTGCAATGCGGTAGCCCCAAGTAGACCTATAATGAATTTGCAAGTACAGTAATCAAATGTATACAAAATGCTATGGGAACAGAGAAGGCATGATTCATCCTACCAGGGAAGGAAATTCAGGAAAGCTGCCCGGAGGAGGTAGCATTTGGGCAGGACCTTGAAGGATATGTAAAAGAACACAGAGCAAAAGGGAATAATTTCTATGTTCATCCCACACACATTTACTGAGCACCTCCAGGTTGCCAGGAAGAGATGAATAATTCACAGCCCAGTAGTGGGGACAGACAAATCACCAATCAACTGCCATAGAGTATAAGCACAACAGTGGAGATATGCTCATGGTACAAAAGTAAAGATACCTCCTTCTGGAATAAAGTCAGGGCGTTGCGGTGGGGGGGGGGGGGATGCATCTGGGAAGGCTCCTGAAGACACGAGAAATGAAATTGTGGGAAGGGAAATGGAAAATTTGCAGGCTGAAGATAAGGGAGTCGGGAGAGAGGGAAAGGTATTCCAAGCAAAGGGAATGGCATGGGCAAAGCTTCTGAGTCTTGAAAGGTCATCCTAGCTTCAGATACCCAAAGCAGATCTGAAAGGCTTGAGTATAAAATGCTGGGGTGGTGGGCAGCCAGGCAGGAGGTAGGATTGACATACAGGCTTTTAGGCAGGACCTACCAGGTTTCTAGATGAATGGGGTGTTGGTGTGCACAAGGATTTAGCAGGCTTAGCAGCCTCCTTTCAAAGCCATGCCCCAGATTGAGAGTTGGAAGAGAAAAGTGTGAGCCATAAATCCCCAGCTCCTCCTGCTGTGCCCAGCGCTGCAGAGCTGGGAGTCTCCACGGCTCTCCAGTCCCACCGCTGCGACCCCGGCTAATCCAGCCTCCTGGCCCATCTGACACACACTTCCACTTAACATTTTGTTAGCGACTCTATAAACGAGCTCTCCCTGACCTTCAATCCCTGGCTAATTGCTGGTTTCATGTACAAGACTAGCTTAATTTTACGTGATAATTACCTGAGAGTGGCAATACATATGGCATTGCATGTTCAAAATGTCAGGCCTGGAAAACTACCAAGTGGCCGTAGTCAGGGGCAAAAGGAGGAGGCAGCTGGGTGGCGGGGGCCTTAGAGAGGCAGTCAGGGAATGAAGCCACGAGGAGAAAGGGAAGATGCCTGGTGCAGACAGAGCTATGGGGAACTGGGGCCCCGGCCTGCAATGGGGACCAGAACCCTCTGCTTGCCCAGCTCACCCAGGGGCACAAGCCACAGGAGCCGCACACGCGTTGCTCAGTCACACACACATGGTGGAGAAACATGGACCGGATCAGAGGTGCCACTCATACATGCTCAGTCACCCACTCAACAAATGCTCGCAGAACACCTACCACGTGCCAGGCAGTGTGTGGGCATGTGCCCGGGTTTCAAATCCCCACTCCACTTGAGAAGGCTGGGAGCATGTGAAAGGCATGTTTGGGTTGTCACAATTACTTGGAGAGATGCTCTCGGTACTAAATAAGCAAGCCAGGAATGCTAAAAGGCTTGCCGTTCCCAGTAGGGTCCCATGCAATGAAGAATCACCCACCCCATGAAGAATCGCCCATCCCAAACCCAGTAAGGACCCACCCCCCCCGGCTAAACCAGGGCCACAGCCGTGAAGAAGCCAAGTGGCCGCTGCCTTCTTGGAGTTTCCAGTCGGGGAAACATGACCATGCACCATGGCGAGGGGTTTCCAGTGCATGAGATGCAAGTCAGGAAAGAGGACCCTGGGGACATTTAGCGGGTGAACTCACTGAGTCCAGGGTTCAGAAGAGATCGCGCTTACAAGGTGCTGTCTGTGTCCCCAGTGTGTGTCCAGTTCATGCTTAGAATGGTCCATGTCACAAAGTTGGACGAATACCAAATGGTGTCTGTGTGTCTATACCACAGGCCATACACCTGGGTACACGCACACTCTATAGACAAATGGCTTGGGTTCATTTTTTTCAACATCCCACGGTTGGGATGTTGGGTATTGGGACAGGGGAGTATAGGCCATGAAGGAGAAAGGGTGCCACTGGTCTGCAGAGGGGCCCTTCTGTAGGAGGCACATGTTGCACACACCCGCTCACATGCACTCCCACTCACATGTGCATGCACGCGGGCGCACACACACACACAGGCCACAGGACAAAGTAAGATGCACAATCCCCAGATGAAGTTGAGTTCTAAAGACCCCTTTAGCCTCTTCACCCGTAGAATTGTGGACTCCCAAGCTGTGTTGGAGTAAATTACTTGCTTAATGAGATTTCAATTAACAAAAACAAATTAAAATCACTTTGGTAATTAAGCTGCTGTGAACCTTGCCAACAGCTCTCCCTCAGACCTTAGATTTTCATGGAGGAGGGAGCTGGGAAGGGGGGTGTCCACTCGGCAATGCTGCTGCGGCCCAAGCGGGGCCAGGAGCTCCCTGCCTCGGGGACAGTCACCTCAGGAGCCACAGCTTCCTGGAACCATTCTGCAGGCACCAGAAATGTGGATGGGAGAAAGGGGCAGCCCATACCAGCCAAACTTTGGTTCAAACTGTAGCCCTGCCACTTGGCTGTGTGCAAGGACACATAATTGACCTCTCCGAGCCTCAGTTTCCTTATCTGTGAAATGGGGATAATAATAGTGCCTGCATCATTGGGTTGGGGGAGGATTAAGTGAATAAATGCATGTAAAACATTAGAAGAGGGCCTGTCTCAAAACAAAGGCTTTTTCTTTTTCATGGTTTATTTATTTCTGAGAGAGAGAGAGAGACAGCGAGAGCAGGGGAGGGTCAGGGAGAGAGGGAGACAGAATCTGAAACAGGCTCCAGGCTCTGAGCTGGCAGTCAGCACAGAGCTCAACGTGGGGCTCGAACCCACGAACCGCGAGATCATGACCTGAGCCGAAGTCGGATGCTTAACTAACTGAGCCACCCAGGCGCCCCTCAAACCAAAGGCTTTTAATCCACTTTCCCTTCTGTGGGGCCAACCTTACATCCCAAACCCCTCCAGGACAGCCCTGCTTCTCTAAGTTAGGTAAATAAAGAGCTACCACAGAGGTGCCTTTGGAGGAGAGGTTTTGGTCAGGTTCTGCCCCACTCAGGCCCCCATCTCTTTCTCAGAGCTCGGATCTAGGAGCTAGAAAGCCTTTTCTTCTCTTGTGGCCTAGAAAATACTCCTTTCCTTGAGTTACAAAATCACCCACAGTTCCCACATGAGAGGTCTGGAGAGTTAGTGCAAGTATCGGT